GCCAAAAAGTGACTTTCGTTTTTTCTCAAGACGATTCATTTCGGCCTTTTCTAACTCAACCAGTTTAGTGTGAGCTAAACGTATTCGACGTTGTGTAATCAGACCACAACATGGATCAGGACAAAAACTTAGATAAGCACAAGCAAATGAGCCATTTTCACTAAAATCACCGTTGAATGACCAACGTTGTTGTTCAAGTTCGAATGAGCTTGAACCAATCAATAGTGCGCATTGTTTATCTAACTGTTTCAATAGAGGATGTTGACGAAATGTATAGTAACAAAAATAATAGGCAGCTGTTAAACGAAAACGTAGTTGTTCGACGTGTGTACGAAATGGATGTAGTAGACGTTCTATTAACCATCCTTCATTGTGATCATAATACGCTTGTTGAAGAAGATTAAACCATGTGTCAGGTTCATAACGGCGAATATACCAGCCAGGTTTTTCACGCCTAAAATGAAAAGTATCATCACTGCCTATTAAGTGCTACGATATTCATCCGAACTTGCATGAGTATTGTATGAACATATTGAATGCATCTAAATATATTTTGATTACACGCTTTATGAACACCTGAATGGAGACGACTTAACGTAGGCCAACGATACGCAAATGTGAAATACTTCAAATTAATATCACTCATTGTTTCTCGTTCGACTTTAAATAGATGTGGTCGTGCAATGTCAATTTTGTCTAACTCTTCTTCATTATGTAAATCATCATTGGCTTGAAATTTTTCTGGTAGCCAACGATCTTCATTCCGCCAATCAATCTCGTTGAATTTCATATCACGCAGCCACATGGAAACGGCGTGGAGTTTGAAATGGGTCTCCGTTATTTCACTGAGTTGCTTTTTAACTGTTGAAATAAATGCAGCTGAAAACTGTGTCATTTGTAGCGACTGTGTTAAATTTCGAACAATATCATCACCATTCATTGTCGATGTATGTGAGAACTGTTTGCTTCTACTGTGTAGCTGAAGAATATTCGGTGAAAATTTTACGGTTAATAATCTTAAAGCTTCTTGATATTCCCATTCTAACTGACCATCTATATTCTTCTCGATGTCAACAGAACCATATTTTTCTTTTGCATAATAATACGGTTCTCTCTGGAAAATGTTTAAAGGTAAATCATTAATACCATTTTTCGCTTTAATAATGAAAATGCTCACAAAAATAAATGCTATTACACTCTTGCTGCTACTACGCATATTCTTGTTCTGACATATCAAAAAACGCGGTTTGGTTAATTATGCAGACGGAGGAGTTCCAAAAGACAGATGAAATAAGTTGAACCTGAAAGATTCAATATCAAAAATCCACTTAGTATACCTTTTTGGT